CCTAAAACCCACAACCCTAAAACCCTAAACCCTAAAACCCTAAAACCCTAAACCCTAAAACCCTACACCCCTAAACCCCTAAACCCCTAAACCCTAAACCCTAAACCCTAAAACCCTAAAACCCTAAACCCTGACTCAGTAAGCAGGCAAACCAACAAGGGCTTCTCAGACACTCGAGCAAGGATTCCGGGTGCCCGAAGCCCTGCTCAAGCCCCGTTTGCTAGGCCTCGGGGCTTTAGGGCTTTGGGGTTTAGGCTTTAGGGCTTTAGGGCTTTAGGGCTTTAGGGCTTTAGAGCTTTAGGGCTTTAGGGCTTTAGGGCTTTAGGGCTTTAGGGCTTTAGGGCTTTAGTGCTAGGCGTCGGGGAAATCTCAACGAAGTCCAAGAACAAGGAGTCGATCCTAAGGTTTGTTTCCACTTAACTGCGACTAGACATTCAAGCCCGAGCCCAAAGCCCATACATATATGTATGAATATATATATATATATATAGACATTCGGGAGCCCCAAAAACAAACCCTAAGCCGCACCCTAAGTCTGACCTCCAACAAGCCATCCTAAAGTGTCTCAACGTCGACCCCTGAATCATGCAGCTTCTCCTGAGTAGAGATTCGAAGTAGTTATGTCCTATACCCTAAACATCACAGCTCACCCTCATGAGCCGAGATGCTGCCTATCGTCATCTTCGGATCCTCTCCACAGGCAATTCGCTCAAGGTTTTGGGGTTTCAGGCTTCGGGTTTAGCGTTCAGGGTTGGGGGTTTGGGGGTTGAGGGCTTGGGGTATAGTGCTTCGCTAAACCCTAAACCCTAAACCCTAAACCCTCAAGGAATAGGTTCAAGCTCCAAGGCAAGCTGGCATTGAGTTGGTCGGCTCCCAGGCTCAGGGCTTGCAGGTGATGATGTTTCATGATGGTGCCTGGTGATGATGATGATGATGATGACAAAGATGATGGTGATGGTGATGGTGATGATGATGATGATGATGATTGCCGATGATGATGACGACGTTGTTGCCTCCGGCAGGACGACTATGATCATCAATATGGAGGCGATGAAGGGGATGCATGTGACCACGAGCATAATTTGACAGACCACCATCATCACTTTTGTCGGCGCCATATCATGATCATCATGGCTGCCATGGTCATCCTCGCCTCGCGGCCACCACCCTCATTCTCATGATCACGACTGCTAGTGTCTGTCATCACCTCCCTTACAGTATGGTCGTAGCTTGCGCTTTGTTGATTATCCCTGTCCTTGCCTTGATCTTTGCACTTGCTTTCGAATTTACAGCTCTGGTTGGTTGGATGCTCGGGGCTGATACGCCCTAAAACCCTAAACCCTAAACCCTAAAAACCCAAAACCCTAAACCGTCGTCTTGACTCGACATCCTGAATCACTCCGGGTTCGCGTCTGCGCATTCCCCGTCCTTTACCAACCGCCAGTCCCTGCTGGAGTAGATGGTCTCCTCGCCGTCGTAACCGCGGCCCTTTGAGGCTTCAGGACCGAGAGCTTCGCTCGGGTTTGCTTTGAGGCTTCGGGTTTGGGCCTTTTGATGGGAGCGTCTGCTTCTTGAACAACAGCTCTTCACGCTGAACCTCCCAAACCTCTCAACCCCCAATAGCATGTATATATGATCCCGGTTC